ATAGCAATTATCAAGAATACATGTAACAATAAATGTTGGTGAGGATGTGGGGGGACAGTATTCTTATACATTATTGGTAGGATTGACTGCAAATAGGTGCAACCACTATGGAAAGCAGTATGGAGATTCCTTAGAAAACTTGAAATGGAACTACCATTTGACCCAATTATCCCACTCCTTAGTCTGTACCCAATATACTTAAAAATAGCATACTATAGTGACACAGCCACATCAATGTTTATAGTAGCTGAACTCAAAATAGCCAAACTATGGAACCAACATAGATGCCCTTCCACAGATGAATGGATAAAGACATTGTGGCCTATGTACACAATGGAATATAACTCAGCCTTAAAGAAGAATGAAACAATAGCATTTGTTGGTAAATGGTTGGAACTTGAGAATATCATGCTAAGCAAAATAAACCAATCCCAAGGCCAAAGATTCTCTCTGATTTGTGAATGTTAACCCAAAATAAAGGGGGTTGGGGAGGGGAATAATAGAAATCCATTGGATCAGACAAAGGGAAACAATGCAAGGGAGGAAGGAAAGAAATAGGAAAGACAGTAGAATGAACTGGACATAACTTTCCTAGCTCTGTATTTGTATACATGACCAGGGTAACTCCACATCGTGTACAACCACAAGAGCAGGATCCTAAATAGAGTAAGTTATGCTCTACAGATGTATAATTTGCCAAAATACATTCTACTGTCATGTATTACTAAAGAGGAAAAAAAAGAAGAGAGTGAGATAAATTCCCAGTCCCCCCTCAAATTCCTCTGATCTATACAATATTGCTTTCCCTTAAAGCTGTAAGAATGTGGCAGAGCCCAGCAAATCTCCCCCTGGCCACAGGTGGACTCACCTAGGGTCTGCTTACTGTTCACTGTGTCACCTGGACACAGTGAAGAGTGAAAGGACTCCCAGTCCTGTTTGTCACTGCCTCTTTATTCTGTGTTCTCCGTCTCTTTGTGGCTTGGAGGGTACTTTGGGGTGATGATAATAAAGTATAAGATGAATGGATTTGTCTTTGGTCGTAGAATCTTTGTTCTAACTACTTCCATTCTGAATCAAACAAAAAAGCACTTTGAGTCCATTAACAACAGGTGGGCAGCAAAGCAGCCCACGCCAGCATCCACCAAGACGACAACAGAAAAAATTACCAAAGGTTGCCAATTCATTAAAGTGCTGAGAACTGAAGGGGAAGAGAGGAAAGGACCAAAGAAGTCACAAAGGGAATTGAGTCGTACCCAAGCAGACAACAGACACCAAGAGCTGCCGCCACCCAGGAGCCATTGTTCAAGGTAAAGACACTTCATCCCAAAATCCACGTCTGGAGACCTGGAGAGGAAGAAGGAGCTGCCTGGGAGGGCACTGATAAAGCAAGGTTTGCAGAAGGTTCCAAGGGTCCATCTCTCTGACATTTTGACCCCAAGCTTAAAAATCATCTGAAAAAATCAGAGTTCTTCCCAGGAAAGGGTAGAATGTTGACAATGGAACCGGAATCCCAGAGTAGAACGGATCCCTCACCAATCCTAAAAAGAGGCTGCCAACACAAATGCCCACCCATGCGCTCATTCCCGCCTGCAAGGCAACAGTAGAGGGAATCTACTTAAACGCCACCTGTGCTCATCAATGTGGCCCTCCTCATGAACATGCTTGGGCAACACAGGCTCTGCAGACCCGGGTGGAAACATGGAGGCAACAGCCAACCTGAAGGAAAACACAGGCCCCTAAAGCAGCAGCACCGCTAGAGGAACACAGAACTCTACCACAGTTCAACCCAGTCATCTTAAGGAGATTTGAAAAGAAATGGCTTCTGTAAAGAAGAAGGTGCTTGGGTCAGGAGTGTGGCTCACATGCAAGGAAGGCCCTGGGTTCAATACCCAACACCACCCCCCAAAAATTTTGAAAATCAAAGAATAAGGTGCTATGAAAATATATTTGTTGGGCTGGGGATGTGGCTCAAACGGTAGAGCGCTCGCCTGGCCTGCATGCGGCCCGGGTTCGATCCTCAGCACCACATACCAACAAAGATGTTGTGTCCGCCGAGAACTAAAAAAAAATAAATATTAAAAATTCTCTCTCTCTCTCTCTTTCCTCTCTCACTGTCTCTTTAAAATATATATATATATATTTGTTAACAAAACATAAGAGAGTCTTCCAATGTGGAAAGCAAAAAGATGGATTATATAAGAGAAAAACTGAGCAACACAGAAGATTAATCAGAGCCAACATCCATAGAGAGAACTCCTTAGACACAAAGCCACAGAAAGGAGGGAGAAAAGAATTCCATAAATATTTATGAAGTCATTATGCTGAAAGGCCCACCACTCAGTGAGCAGGATTCCAAAAAGACCAATATCTAAACATAACCTAGATATGTGAATAAGGAGAAGTTTCTAAAACCACCCGAGGAAACAAGTTAACCAAGAAAAAATGAACAACCCCCCAAAAACAACTACGGATGCTAGAAAGCAGCGGTGGTCCCTATAAATTTTTGACTAAAGTTATTTTGAACCTAGAAGTCAGCCAAGGGAGAGGACAAAATCAAGATATCTTTGGACCTGCCAAGACCCAGAAATTTCACTTGAAAACTTACCTGAGGATACAGGCCAGCAAGGATCTGTGGAAATAAACATCAACCAAACAGGAGTGAGCAGAGTATTTATTGGAGCCTTCTGTAATGAGCCACTAATAGATTTATTTTGGTCAGAGACTAAAAAAAAAAAAAAGGAGAAAAGGAGGAAAGCTTTATAGTGGAGAAAAGATGATTCTGGGTGCACCCTGACTAGAGGTCGTGGGCAGAGGGGAGCCGCTGGTAGATGGCTGAAGGAGGCATCCTGTAGGTTTGGTTAGAGGTACACATTTGGCTTTTCTCTATTTGGTTCCAAATTGCAAGTGGGGACAAAAGTTAGTGGTGCTGTCAGATATTAATTAAGTCCTGGATGCTTGGGGCCTATTGTTATCATAAGGCTTCCTGGACTGGTTGCTAGAGATAATGGTCTGACTTCCCACAAGTCTGACTTATCAACGTTTAAGTTAATTTCCTGGGCTGTTTACTGTGGATAACAGATTGGTCTCCTGGGTTGGTTGCTGAAGCTTGTAAATCAGAGTTCTGTTATTTTGTAGGGTCCGACCATTCCTTGTTTAGATAGTCTCTCAAACCTAAGAAAGAGATGGGATCCAACAAACGGTGGACTAATGAGTACACTGAAAAAGTTCACAATGGCACAGTTGGGAAGAATTCTGTTCCCAAGTGGCCATTTTCCAAGTAGAATCACTAAGAAATGGGGTGTGCAAATAATGTGGTAAAGGTATGTCAACAAGAAAATAGTCATATGCAATTAGAAATCCCAGATGTTGATGGAAGCCCAGATATTAAATAAATGAAACTTAGACCATTTTGAAGAACCAATAGCCATACATCAGAAATCCATCTGACTTTGGTGCATGAAACAATCTCCTTTGAGCAGCAAAGACTTTGTGACACAGGACTCCATCTCCTTCTCCATAAAGCCAAATGCTCTTCTCATTCTTCAGTGAATATTTTTTTATTTTTTTAGGAAATCACAGTACTATTAAAGCTATGCATTGATTTTCAATTTTCAACATCAACTTCTATGTAAACAAAGCGTGAAAGGATTAATTATGTCTACAATGTGACATGGAACTAATCTCCACTATGAGAGTGTCAAAGTCAGCCCCCACCAATTGGGAGGAAGAGAAAGAAGGCCATGTGGTGCTCATGTCCTGCAACGTGTAGAAAAGCATGAAAGACTAAATTCATAAATCAAGGAATGAAGGTTTGGGTATGTTATTTTAAATCATAGAATAAATAAGAGAATAAGAATATAACAAAAATTGATAGGAAGGAAATCAGAGAAGATATATGCTTCATCTGTCATAGGAGTCGTTAAGTACTTCTTATTGATGAAACAAAAATAGAAATTCAAGAATATTATTTGAGTTATGACTAAAACAGGAAAAATGTGAATGAAGAACAGGAAAAGCAACAGGGATCGGACGGTATGCTCTCCTTCCATACCCTTCTATACTGTTTCAACTGTTATTTCCCTTGGCATATGTAGTTAATATTCTTTTCTTTCTTTTAAATTTAAAAAAGAGGTCAGGATTCAGAGGCAATACCCAAGCATTCCCATAGAGCTAGCTAACTTCTTTTTCTCAAAATAACCCCTCCCTTGTTATTTGACTCAGCCTCGCCCACTTTATGGTTTCAGTTCAGATTCTCCTTGGAGAGATGAGGGTAACATTTAATATACACTCATTTTACTTTTATTTTATTTACAATACTGGGAATTGAAGCCAGGGGTGCTTTACTACTGAGCTACATCTCCAACCTGTATGTGTATGTGTCAGGTGCGGGGAGGGCACTGGGGAACAAAGACAGGGCTGCTTTACCATTAGGCTACATCCCCAGCCCTTTTTACTTTTTTGAGACAGGGTCTTGCTCAGTTGCTAGGGGTCTCACTAAGTTGTTGAGGCTGGCCTTGAACTTGCAAACCTCTTGCCTCAGCCTCTGGAGTCACCAGACTAATACATATTAATTGAGTAGAAGCGAAGCTCATGATTTCTTCATTCAATGAATATCCATAGAGCACCTACGACATGCAAGGCACTGGAGATACAGGAATGAGCAAAACTATCCCTGTCCTTGGGGAAATTATTTATATTCTTGTGGGCAAGACAGACACCAAATTTTATATATATATATATATATATTAACTTTACCCTTCCTTGACCTGCTGAGAAAAAATACTGCAGGTTCTTGGGCCCAACAAACTTAGTGCCCACTTCTGTTACCAGTTACAAGATTCTGAACAAATGGCCAATCCTCTCAACTCCAGTGTCTCCATCTGTACACTGGGGCTTCCCACCTTTTAGGGCTCTTGAAAAATCAAGAATGCATCTGGGCCACCATGTGGAGTTACACTCATTGTATTTTCTTTCTCTTATAAAACAGAAATCAAAGTTTCAAACTCTTTGGAAATGAACTTCTAACAATATAAATTATCACCCTGGTTCTGGTTTAATATGAGCCAAATAAAGAAGTCAGATTTAAAGATAACCTGAGAGACGTTTAGACTTTGACCTTTTGGTGTTGATGACTTTGAAAATCAGCAGAGTGAATCTTCATTCAAATAAGTTCCTCCTTCCCAAAGTGGATGCTATACTGTCAGTTGGATTTCTGTTCCTGTGAATTAAATACCTGACAACTTAGTAGAGGAAGTTTATTTTGGCTCACAGTTTCAGAGGTCTTTACTCATCTCATCGTCGGCTGACTCCACTGCTCTAGGCCTGAGATAAAGCAGAACTTATGGCAGAAGGGTGCAGAGAAGGAAAGCTCTTCAACTCAGGCAGCCAGGAAGGAAAAGGAAGCACTGGGAGTCAGGGTCAAAATACATAATCCCCAAAGCACACTCCTAGTGACCCACTTCCTCCAGCCATGCCCCACCTGCATACAGATACGTTCAAATTATTAATCCACCAGGTGGATTAATCCATTGATAAGGTCACAGCTCTTGTATTAATCATTTCACCTCCTGCATTAACACAAGAGCTTTGGGGAGAACACTTTATGTCCAAATCATAACATATTTTGGACTTTAAATGTCTCACAAAGGCCCATGCATTGGAGGTTTTGTCCCCAGGGAAGCACTATTGGGAGGTGGTGGAACCTTTAAGAGGTGGGGCCTAATGGAAGACTTTTAGGTCATTGGGGGTGTGTCCTCCAAAGGGGTTGTTAAAACCCAGTCTCCTCTTCTTCCTTCCTTGTTCCTGCACATGAGGTAAGCAGTTTTGCTCTACTGTGAACTCCCACCATGATGTGCTACCTTCCCCAAAGCAATAATCATGGATTGGAACTTCTAAAACTAAGACAAAATTAACCTCTTTTTCATAAGTTGATTATTTCAAATAGTTGTTATACTAACGGAGAGCTAACTAATAGCATGTTTGGGGAAACACTGTATCATAGGCTCTATCGTCAAATAGGAACACAGCATATTACAGCCCCCTCTTAGAAAGTCACAATGCAGGTGAGTATAATGAAGACCTTGAGAAGTCCTGCCACAAACAGACAATTTCTCAGTCTACCTCATCACAATCCCTTCCACCCATTCACCCACCAAATAGATGGAGCACAGCCCTGCTAAAACATCCCCTACCCTAATCCACTGAATTGGTGCTTAGCAGATCACTTTACAAAATGCTGAATTAGAGGATTTATGGATTCTGTTTAGCTCAAGCCAGAGTTAGTTTTCACAAGTTCCTTAGTACTAAAAATAGTTCCCAAGACATAAGCAAGGCCCACTCGGCCAATAGCACACCCCACCACGCGCCCTGATTCTCTTGATGTTAATGTCCTTAACATCCTGTGGGTGGCACATGAGTGACAGAATCCATCTGAGTCCAAGATACAATGAACCTACAATGCAGCCTGTGAACCCTACTGGAGACCCTCTGAGCTGCTGTCATGGTGCAGGTCCAACAGAACCATCATGCCCTGCCATATAACCAGGGCTGAGAAATTCACCCCCAGAACATCCATTCCTCAAATAGCTGACTAACCCTGCAAACACCCCTAGAACACAGAGGCTATCCCAGCGGGAGGTGCTTGGCTTCCAGTGGTACCCCTGGATGCACCAGCAACACATGCCCTCAGCCCGCTTTGGGCTTCTAGAGCTGATTAAAATAAAACTGCCCTTGGCCACACAGGCTTTGCCAGAAAAAGAGTTTTGGGGACAAAACTGTTGCTGCTGGGAAAAAATAGCAGATCAAAGGGCATGACTGGCATTTCCTTCTGTCTCCCTGACGTCTTCATTGTGAGCAGAAAGTGCAGTTTGAATAACACTGACAGCTGCGGGAGGCCCGAAACCCACAGTCCCTCCAAATGGCGAGTTCCATTGCTCCCTCCTCTTACTCGGTGGCATGCAGGCTGTCACCTGAAGCCTTGCCCAGCTTTGTTCCCTTTTACAGAGACTGGCTGGCAGCAAGGCTTGTGTTCTCTGACATTCACATGCCACATCAAGGAGCTGTGAAATCAACACAAAGCGGAAGGTAGAGGGACCGGTGACTGCTTCCCGGGGGGGGTGATCAAAGCAGGAAAGTCCTCTCCCTCCAAAACATTCTTCCCCACCGGCTCCAAATGCTCAAAGCATCAGAGTAAGAGTTTAATTCCTTCAGCTGAAAGCAGGAACAGCAAGTAGGAGGCCCGGCAGGTGCCACCGTTCCCTCCTCTGTGTCTGGGCACTCTGTGTCTGTCACTATCCATCTGGAACTGTGCCCCGCCTGCATAGGTGACTCAGCACCCATTTGCAGCCACTGCCCCACTAAACTTCTCCTGAAGTCGAATCCCACTAAATAGACTTCCCACAGTTGTAGGAAATCATTTAAAATAACCACACCAGAAAAAAAAAAATATGCAGGGAAACAGATGATAGATGAAAGAAAAATGGCAGGTTGTTGATAAACGCTGGAACTCATGAGTCTGTGTGGATTCCTTTCTATTTATGTTTGAAACTTCCATAGTAAAAGTTTAAAACACACACACACACACACACACACACGTGTGTATACAGATACACGGTGCACATGTAAGCCAGCTTCCCTTCCTGTCTGCTGTCACTTTAAACAGTTATCAACAATTTAAATTAGAATGTGAATGAGGGTTTTTTTGCCCTTTTTTTTAGAGCAAATTTTGATAGAAAAAAGGAGATGAGCTGATTGTTCAGCAGGCAGGAGACGGCCAGCAGTTGGGAAGAAGAGAGAATTGAACATGTTTGGGAGACAGGGGTTCCCCCAAAACGTGGAAGAGTGTTTACTTGGCAGTTAGGGCTGGTAACATTGAGAGCAATGGGCCTGGGGATTGAGAAGTTGGGTGCAGGAGTTGAACAGCCGCATGCCCTCACCTCCTTGATTTCTGAAGCATTCATTTGTGCCTTTAACCATCTCTCTTTTTGGCATCCACCAGCGTGAGAGTTAGAAGCCAAGGTCTGGATTTGAGGTAGGAACTTTGAAAGTTTGTGCACCAGCCCACCTGTTGTTTCAACCAACCCAGTTTTCAAATTAATGGCTATTCTTTTCTCTGATCCAAGGACACCCATGGAATTGGTCACAGCCTCCCGCTGATTCAGTATTAGAAGAGTTCACTTCTCACCATAATGAACAGAACTATTTTCATTCAAGCTTCTCAGATGAGACCACCCTTCAAAATGCTGTGAAGTGGGAGACGCTGGTTTTCCCTGCCCAGGAGCCCAACATCTCCTCTTTCCATTATGTTCCCCTATAAACTCAGACTGCTCCTCTGCTCAAAAAACAAAAACAAAAAAAAATCAATGAAAATGTAATTTTACTATAGGAATATCAATTCTTAAAGAGTTCTGGAATCAAAGTCGGTTTCAATGGCTTGGAGTCATACACACAATGGGATATCTAGGCGGCTGTCAAATGGGCGAATCAGATCCATGGAGCTGATAGAAAAAGATTTCCAAGATACATTATTTAGCTCTGGCAAAAGTCCAGTGGCTCTGTGGGGACAAGATCATTCCCTGCCTGGAGACAAAGCCTTCAGCTATTAATCACCAGAACTGATAGCTGACCAAGCCTGCCCCTCAGCAGAAAGCCAGAGCCAAATGGTCGAGCACAATAGGAAGCTGAGTTTGGAAATGGCCTTGTGCCTCATTTCAGGAAAAAGTAAAGCTCTTCCCCTCTGGGTGGACACCTGACAGCAGCTGAAAGGGACAAGGCAGGCACGGCTTTTGCATATCTACCCCAGCTTCTTCCCGATGGAAGGCAGTTGCCATAAGATCCAAACCTGTCAGTAGTAAGTTTCTGAGCATCTCACATTTTCCTTGTTTTCTTCTTTTTATATCTGAGAGTTTAATAAAAGTCTTTGAAAATGCTAGGAGGTACCACTCATGCTAGAGACAAAGAAGGAAAGGAGATGTTGTGTTTCTTGGGTCCAATTTCCTAAGGGGAAGTTGTGTGCCCTCAGAAGAACGAGATCCAATAAGTAAAACCCATGACAGAAGGTGAGCCCTCCAGGACCAGCTCCTTAGGGGTTCACTCGTTTCTGGGTACACGTTTACGACTCTTCTCTGCAAGATGTCCTCTGGTTTTCTCAGCAAGGTATGGCAGAGACCGCCACATCCTCCCCTAGTACTGTGATTTTCTCTGATCTTTGGCCAGATGAATGTCTGTGGAAGAAAAGACCCCATTTCCCAGCCTCCTTTGCTAGTAAATGTGGTCAATCAACTAAGCCAAAAGAAAAGTAAGAGGATATGGTAAATGTGATTTCTGGGTAGAGCCCTTTAAGAGAGAGTTTCTCTTAAAGAGAGGACTCTTTCCTTTTTCCTACTGGCTGGAATGGAAGCACACTGACTGGAGCTTGAGCAGCCCTTTTGGACCACAAGGTAAAAGCTTTATGTTGATGATAAAAGCCTGGGTTCCCAATAATTTTGGCACTGACATCCCAGTTTAAGACATCCTATATTTATGTGAGGAACCAATTTCTTTAATAAACTTTAATTCAAGCCA